AGGGAGTCAGTCTCGAGTTATGTAGACTCTAGACCTGCGAATGCCGTTCCAGGCATACCGAGCCCGGACACAGACGAGACGGAGTTTCATCTGCCTCGGGAGACACGAACGACACTAGCACAACTTCGCTCCGGCTACTGCAGCAGGTTAAACTCCTTCCTGAGTAGATTGAATGAGGATGTGCCAAATGAGTGTCCGGCATTCGGAGAGACCCCACATGACTCGAAACATCTCTTCGCATGCNGCATACCGAGCCCGGACACAGACGAGACGGAGTTTCATCTGCCTCGGGAGACACGAACGACACTAGCACAACTTCGCTCTGGCTACTGCAGCAGGTTAAACTCCTTCCTGAGTAGATTGAATGAGGATGTGCCAAATGAGTGTCCGGCATTCGGAGAGACCCCACATGACTCGAAACCTCTCTTCGCATGCCCGACAACCCTAACGGCCTTGTCCCTGTGGACCAACCCTACAGAAGCTGCACGCTTCCTATGGCTGCCTTTAGTGGAACTTGACGACAACGACCGAGATACCAACCGTCCTGGGCGGGGTTGTTGTAGCCGCTACAACAACAACAACAACAACAACATTTACTACTAACGTTGGCCTGTTTGGCGTCAAGATTGCGTGGAGCTCAGCCCCGCAAGGCCACTGTNTTCGCCTGTTTGGCGTCAAGATTGCGTGGAGCTCAGCCCCGCAAGGCCACTGTACAATGTGCGTTTGCTAACAGCCTCGTACAGCGCTAAGCTGAGTTGGTGCGAACGTTTACTTTGATCATTAAAAGCGTTCCTGAAATATCGCGCGGAAACCGAGTTCGTTCCTCCTCACAGGCGAACGTTAGTGTTCTAGGGTTAATGCCATTTTTTTGATTAGTACTATAAAAACAAGTTTTTTATTTTGCAATTTTTAACTTCTAATTTCATTCAATGCTAATTGTTAATATGTATTTTATGTATAGTTATAATGAATAATGTGAGTGATAAACTTGGCAAAGATGACTTGTTACATTCAAAACCTAGCTTTCATCGCACGTTTGCGGTTTTTCGCTGGCACTATCTGTCGATGCGGCATTAAGTAGAGCCGCTTCTCTNGCCATTTTTATGATTAGTACTATAAAAACAAGTTTTTTATTTTGCAATTTTTAACTTCTAATTTCATTCAATGCTAATTGTTAATATGTATTTTATGTATAGTTATAATGAATAATGTGAGTGATAAACTTGGCAAAGATGACTTGTTACATTCAAAACCTAGCTTTCATCGCACGTTTGCGGTTTTTCGCTGGCACTATCTGTCGATGCGGCATTAAGTAGAGCCGCTTCTCTGACCGCTCGTTTGTAGTCGCGGAAGCGTGGTCGTTTTGGCGGGTTCTCGGCCTCGCTTTCACTTGTTGTGCTTGCTCCGCCGCTCCCACCACCAAATCCTGTTGTGCTGTCATCATCGCTCAATTGCCTTGCCTGTTCTTCGCGACGCTTTCGCACATTCAGCCAACTCAGCAATGTTTTATTTTTTGTATTGTTTTCCGCTTTTTGTACCAACTCGATAGGTTGATTACATTTTTCAGATTTGTTTCGTGAATTATTAACAAGATTTGATACGCGGTACCATTTCAATTCGCTGGCAGGACGCAAGGTCGCCAACGCTTCTTCGTCGGTGACTCGCCTATAGTCAAGCCAGTCCTTTATGAGAAAACTAAATTTTTATATTGATATGCAATAATTACTTTATGTACGTACGTTCACTTGCTGCTCTGTTTCCAGTATGGCTGGCATCCGATGATGCAGCCATGACATTATTTTAGTTGACTCAAATGTTATAATGCTGTAACTAAACATCTTGTCTCCATTTTCGTCCTCCCAGACGTCAAAAAGGCCAGCCATTTTCAGAAGTTGTACATTCGCTGGTGTCCATGTAGACTTATCGTAAACCTTTATGCCTTCCGCTTGAGGCATGTGTAAAAGATGGGCTGCACGTTCCGAAGGTTTGGCCGATTTTGTTGTTTGCCACTCATAGAATCCTTCACACAGCACCACGCATCGCTGACCTCTTCGGAATGGACCTCGATATAACTTGGATTCTAACATATGCTCTAATCGGCAGTTGTTGGTTGACAAACCGTGACGTCGATAGTCCCCTTTGTGCCAAAACGGAATCATGCCCCACATCATAGGCACAACTACTCTCGAGTGAGAGTTCGATCCCTCACTTTCAGAGTCGTCACAGAAGTGATCAGTTGATACAATCACAGGTGTAATATCAGTAGGTGTCATATTATATGAAGGTTGATATTTACGGCCGCAATTAAACTCAGAACGCCATTCCGGAGTAAGAGTACTATCTCCAATTGAATGCCCGGCTTCTTGGTCTTCATTCTTAGGTTTATCGACGCCGTGGTTTTCAGACTTGTTTATATTGACAGTCGAATTAGTGGATTTATATTTACAGGCACAAAGTA